AGGCCAGCCTGGGCTACCAAGTGAGTTCCAGGAAAGGCGCAAAGCTACACACAGAGAAACCCTGTCTCAAAAAAAAAAAAAAAAAGACAAGAAGTATCCCACTGTCAGGTGACAGAGGACACGGAGAGATCTCAGTTTAGGGTCTGGTGGTCCACATCCTTCCCACAAACCAAGACTTCATTCAGCTATCTTTTCAGATACAAATACCTCCATGGTACCCCAAGACTAGAATTGAGGAATGCAAGGATGCTCTAATGTGAGAACTTCCCAGAACCCACTCAGCTGTGGATATAGGTTTAGGTAAAGGGAACCCAGACAATCCCTTGCTCAGCTCAGAAATAGGAAGTGGACAGTGGAACATCTTCTCAGCAAGAAGATAGTTGCCTGCGTAGGCAGTTGCATAATAAATGTCCTATGTGGGGTCCTCCTGTCTTTGAGGTATCCCTCAGTGTCCCACAGTAACTTCGTCCCCAGAGCACATATATCTAAAGTGTTTTCAGCATTGGCTGGCAAATGCCTTAAAGTGCATCCTGAGACCAAAGACAGACTGAGGAGCTTGTCCACATCCCAGAGACCTGTGTCCTTGAGTAAGCATTTTAACCTCTCAGCCCAGCTTAGTTTTCTGCAAAACAGAGTACTAGTGATGTCAGCTGTCCAGGCTTGTGAAGATTAAAGTCAGTGTGTGTGAAGTGCCTGGAGCAGTGAATGGCATCCCATATGTACTTGTTATAAATTCCGCAGCTGCTAACTGCTCATCCGCTCAGAACACGCTGTCCATTTTCCTGGTATGGTCCTCCTTCGCATCCGCATCCACTCAGCTGGCCTCCTCTCATGCCTCCTCGCTTCTGCTCCTCAGTCCCCAGCCTCATCGTCTCACGGCAACAAAGGCTTGAAACCCGTGTCCTCCTCAGGATTGAAACCTCAGGGATGGGAGCAGACCAGTTCACTTTCAAATCCCATCATGGTGTCTCCATATGGGGAGCAGAGATGAAGAATGTTTACTGGGGTATGAGTTTCTGACTGTCCCACAAATGCAGTCACCTACTCCCCAGAGTCTACACCCCATTGGAGGTGTGACAGAAGTGACTTCAGTTCCTCACTTGCCACATCCCTGCCTAGCCCGTGTGATTCAGTGTAGGCTCCGTCCACTATGGCTGTTGCTCTATGACCTACTTTGCCTAAGGCCTTTGCCTCTGTCTTTGAGGCTGGCTGCTGAAGGCTGTAGTCCAGGACAGTGGCGTCCCCGTCATGTTAGTAAGCTCAGAGCTGGGCAGAAGCACTTTTCAGAGGAGGCCCCTGTAGTCACTGATGGAAGTAAATGTCTGTTACATGTTTGTCCACTGTGTTGCTGCAGTAGAGAGTTGGTATACCCAAAAATGAGTACACACTTCATGCCAAGACTTTAGAGCCCTCTTTGGGAGAAATCTAAAGCAATGGAAACAGTTTTACTCAAGACAACTTACTATGTTCTCTGCAGTTTCTCCCAAATTTCTCTTTGTAGCCCTTCTTGTGCCTAGGCTATATGTCTTAGTCTCTGATAAACATCTTAAAAGATGTGTGCATGCTATATAGACATAGTACACATGCTCTTCATCTATTGACTCCTGTAAGACGTAAAATGTGTATGAAAAGCCAGTGATGTGGGCAGTAAATGAAATCACCAAGGGGATGGACAGACAGACAGGATTTATTGAAATATAGTGCAAGAAAGCTGTAGGTAAGCCTCAGAGAGGGGCTCATGCAGCCGAGAAAGGAGTGGGAGTCTTGTCTGGTTCTGACTGAGAAGGAAGTCACTTGGTGTTACCTTTTGGGCCGTTTGTTTGAGTCCACAGCTGGATAGATAGGGTGCCATCTCACTTTCTTATTAAGCAGATTCTACAGTATGAGTTGTTTATCTTCAGACTGTCTATCCCTGTAAGGTGCCATTAGTCATATGAGTTAGGCTTTAGTTATTTGTGTGATAGATATATCTTAGGTCACCAGGGAGCCGTGCTCCAGGTGGTCATGACCTTGTGGTTAAAATAAAGGGAATTTCCTTTTCTTTTTCTTTCTCTTAACCTCCTTTGTCTGTATAATACCCAGAAGAGGCTGGTCTTTGCAGAATATGAATGACCCAAGAGGCTAAAATTCATTGTTTGAGATGGAGTAAATATCATTGAACGAAGAAATCAAAGACTGTGATCTTATATTGAATTCCTTATAGTTAAGTCTTTGGAACAGTTTTGCATGAATTGTTTTAAAGGTAAAATGAGGAGCATAATTTATCTGGGAAGAAGTCATAGTATGGGAGGATGTCTCAGTCAGCAAAGTGTTCGGTGTGCAAACACAATGTGGTGGTTTGAAAAAGGATGGCCCCCAGAGGCTCACTGTTTGAATGCATAGTCGTCAGGGAACGGCACTATTGGAAAGGATTAGGAGGTGTGGCATTGTTGGAGGAAGTGTGTCACTGGGAGTGGGTTTTGAGGTTTCAAAAGTCCCAAGCCCAAAGTCTCTCTGTCTCTGCCTATCTATCAGGATGTAGCTCTCAACTACTGCTCCAGCATCTACCTGCTCCCCACCATGCTCCCACCATCCTCCCCGCCATGATGATAATGGACTCAACCTCCAAAACTGTAAGCAAGCCCAATTAGATGTTTTATTTTATAAGAGTTGCCTTGGCCATGGTGCCTCACACAGCAATAGAACAGTGGCTGGGACACATGGGGACCTGAGCTGGATGCTAAGTACTCATATAAAATGTTGTGCCTGGCAGCATGCACCTGTAATTGCAGCACTCAGGACCCTGTGGAGACAGGAGGCTCTCTGGAGCTCATGGCTAGCTGGCCTAGCCAGCTCAATCACCTCCAGGGTCAGTGAGACCCTGCCTCAGAACTAAGAGCAATGCAGGAAGACACGTGACACCAGCTGTTGGCCTACACACACACACACACACACACACACACACACACACACGCACACGCACACGCACACGCACACGCACACGCACACGCACATGCACACACACACATGCCCCCACAATCCTCCCTGCACACATGAAAAGACTAGGCCCCTAAACACCCTCACCTGATGCTGTGTGTCACCTGAAGTGTCTCATTAGGGCTGTCTTGACACAGGTCGCTTGTCACCTGCTCTGTCCTCTGCCCTTCATATCCAGATGCTATCTGTTGCTGACACCGAGTGCTAAAATGGCTGGTGGATGAGACTGTCTTCTTGTAGTGTCCTCCTCAAAAATTCTTAAAGCACACACTTCCTTTGGGATGAAATCTAAGTGGCCAATCCACTCCTGCTGCTCCTGTTCACCTTAATTCCATTTCTTCACGTGCACTCTGAAGGTAGAAGGAAGACATGTTTGCATTTGGGGCTGTGGCAGCGGTGTGTGTTCAGGGTAGTGTGTCTTCGTGTAAAACGTTAGGCTTGCTATATATGAACTGGATTGAGGAACTGTATGAGGGAGATTAAAAGCCATCCTATGTGATTGTGGTGGGGCGTGGTTTGTACATGCGACAGCTCTTTGGTAGTTTATGTGAATATTCAGTGTTTGGGGGAGTTGTATGTGTGTATCCGGAGGAAGAAGGGCTATGTGATGCATATGTTGAACTCTAGTCAGATAGGTGTGTGTGAATTCATAGCTTGTGTGGATGTTATGCACATGTCTGAGGAGACTGGAGTCTTGTATGTCTTGCCAGGAGTGACAAGCCAAAGATACAGGGTAAAAGTCTACTAGACTAGAATTGATATAAAAATTTTAATGAAGAATCTGTTCCACAGACAGACACATGTGGGCAAACCACACCCACGACAGAGAGTAGGCTCTTTTTTTTTTTTTTTTTTTTTTTTGGTTTTTCAAGACAGGGTTTTTCTGTGTAGCCTTGGCACCTTTCCTGGAACTCACTCTGTAGCCCAGGCTGGCCTCGAACTCACAGAAGAGAGTAGACTCTTTTATAACAGCTGGGAGAAGTTGCTTTGTCTAGTTAGGGCAATTTGGTTTTGTTTTTTGAGTTGATGTGAAATTAGTGGGTTCAGATTCTGTGACCGCTGAGGCTCGGTATTGAATACCTTGAATGTCTGTGTCCTTCATCACAGCACTGGTCTGTCTGTGAGCCAGGCGCCTCCAGGCCGGGAAAGTGGGGAATCTTGTAATGTCCTCTAGTCCTGCAGGGAAGGCCAAGTGTCTGCACAGGTGTGAAATCTGAAGTTTGAGAAGAGAGGAGCAGGGAGACAGCCCAGTCAGTAACGTGCTTGCCTCACAAGGACGACAATCCGAGTTTCATTGCTGGAACCCATTGAAAAGCCAGGTGTGGTGCTGAATGCCTATAATCCCAGCTCTGGGGAGGTGGAGGCAGGGGGAATCGCTGGACTAGATGGCCAGGCATCCCAGCCTAATCAGCATGCCCCAGTGAGAGATCCCTGTCTGAAAAGCCAGGAAGGTAGTTCCTAAAGAATGGTACCCAAGGTTGATTTCTGGCGCGCGCACGCGCGCACACACACACACACACACACACACACACACACACACACACACAC